AGTTATATTTCTCACAGACAGAGAGACGTGGATATTCTCAAGCCAGCGATGACATTCCCATCACTGGCACCTGTGACTTTGCCATCGCAGCTCTGTCATGAAACCTCTGGTGCATGGACCGGCGGCCGCAGACAGATCGAAGTTCACACAAGTGGCTGTCAGGAATGTCAAGTGGCTGAGATCTGGCGGTGCATCTCATCTGCAGCTCTGAGATAAGCGCACGCTGCCTGATTGGAAAATTCTTCAGGCCTCCTCTCGAGCTTTGTGGTGATGGAGAGCTGCACGGACTCACAAATGCCTAAACATCAGGGGACTTGAGTGTCACAGAGCTGTAATTTGTGCTGACCTGAATGTGCTGGCTGGCTTAGCCGTGCTCTGGGCTCGTTTGTCTGAAATAATGAAAGGATTTATTAGAACAAAGTTACAAGGACATTTTTAGCCATTTCTAAATTTCAGGAAGTGTATTTAAATTGTTCAACATGTGAACAGTGTTTGGAAAATGACTTGCTAATAAACTCTGTATGCTGAATTGTTTTGTGCTGGGTGAATTCATTTTTAACCAGAAATATCACAACATATACTAGATGGATTGAGGTGGAATTTAGTCAATTCATTCTTGGTCCCCAGAGGCTGAATCATATGGACTTTATTTATTTATTTGTTTATTCCACACATGGCAGTTATTTTAAAACAAAACATGTACACTTTACAAAACATGTACACTTATACTGTTTGTTTTTTTGAAGAAAGAAAATGAAATAAACGTAATAAAGTAAAATAAAAGCAATATTCTTTCAGACACAGTTGCTCACAAATACTGAAACATAAAACCAGAACACAATCAAAAGTCAGATTCATACATTCATTCATTCATTCATTACGTTTTCTTTATACATTTTCTTGAATATAAAAATGTTCTTACAGCCCTTTGATGACCAACTGACATTCATTTTCTCCTCAGGATCTTTTTCTAATGTCCACTATGGAACCAATTATTATCAAATTTGAATTGTGCCATGAATTATACCTATTATGATGTGAAATTAAAAGATAATTTTGCAAATCACGAAAGCCTTTTTTAGTACTATTTAGTTTTGTATGAAACTGCTCACTGAACTACATGTGTGATGCACAAATGTTATCATATCATCTAACCTGGTGGGTTTTATCAGCTGGAATGCAATAGAGTAGGTATTTTCAGGTATGAAAAACGCAGGCATAGTTTCCATTGGGAACAGTGAAAGGCGAGGGCTTGACCTTTAAAATGTAATATACCTTTTTTATTTATTTTAGGCTGATAACAGAAGCCTGTTGCAACTGGATACAAAGCTGATGAGTGAGACTGAAAAAAAAAGTAAGGTAAGTCAAGTGAAAACATTATAGGTATACGTGTGTGAGAGTGTCTGGAGGATTAAAGGATTTCTGTCTTCAGCATTAAGCATGTTATGAAATGTCTCCCTGACATTTTTATTTTCCAAGTAATTGCTCCTGTTTCAGAGTGTAACTATTATTAGCCTCCACATGTTCTCAAAGAGCAAAGCAGAGTTTGTCCAGGTGTGTTGCAGCTCTCGGGAAATGACAATATCTGGCAGTGGGAAAATGTGTCACCATGGTGACAAGTCAGTGTCCTGTTGGCCACGCTGTGAACGATGGAGGCACTCATGGGGGAATTACTATTTTCAGACTCTCATGGTGTTTACCTGCTTCACCAATCCTTATTACTGGAGCCAGGCAGCAAGAGGATAAAATAGATTTCCGGAGTATTATATTTAATCCTTTAGGCGATAAGAACATTTTCAGCCCAACCACCTATTGTGAAAAGTGTTGTTGATAAAATTACTCCGAGATACAGCATGTAGCAATTGCTTTCATGGAAAGCCAAAATATTAAAGACGTCCCAGAAAGCAAATACAACAACGTTTCTTTGATGATAAGATGTACGCTTTGAATAAATGACTGTATGGATTTGAAAAATGACTGTGTTCCTCCCCGCATGAACCTCCCACTGGAGCCTTAGATAGAGTCTCGCCTGCAGCGCCAAGCAGCGAACAGGAAACCATTAATCATTGATTAGGGACAATTACATCTCATTCCATTTAATTATCTCTCATTCCTGAAACAGTGGGACTGCCAAGCTGAGTATCTGCACGACTACCTGCAGGTGGGAGATAGGAGCTGTGTTGGGTTAACTGGGTCGATTTCACCTTTGGATTCAAAGACAGTAAAAATGCTAAAAATCATTTTGAACAGAAATAATATACAAACAATAATCCATTTCTCTTAGTTTCTGCTACCAGAGTCCTCCCTAACACAGGAAAGTGGAACACGACCATCGGCATCACTTTGTTAGAAAAAGTGGGGACAATTTCTCCAGATTTATCACAAAATATGTCCCTCGTTGAACCTCGAGCACCTGCATGATGACAAACCAATGCACAAACAATGAACGCCCAACTATAGGTCTTGTTGTGATGCTATTTGGAGCTAATTTGTACTTTTATTCACACAACGAGCTAACAGGTATGGAGGATAGAACATGACATAAGTAAAAAAATGCATAAATACAAGAATAAATACATTTCATAAATAAATAAATGTGAAAATAAATAAATGAATGTAAAAAAGTTGAGAATAAAACAGAACACACATTATATATCTTTAATGTATTTCTAGATTTATTTTCACTTACATTTACATATTTATAAATGTCTGTGTCAGTGCATGTTTCAGCCCCCTGAGACAAAAGTACAAATGTTGATATCAGGCTTAATAAATCAACTTTGATTGACTTTGATTGGTGGAGTTGGCGCAAGAAGTACACTTCACTTCAGAGCCCTGAAGAGCCAGATATAAAATAGCGTGAAAAATGGTGTTGCTATTAAAGGTTTTGCCACTACATAAAACTCAGTAACAAGGGTGTAAGGGACTTGGATTTCAAACAGGTCTTCTCCACTATAGCAGTGAGAACACACACACATTTAATAAGCAGCACAATACACACTAGGATCAATCAACATGAAAACTGCATGGCTGGGATTGAACCCACCACCTTCTGACTGAAAGACAACAGCTCTTCCTTTCAGCCACAGCCGAATGATGACAAACTGAAGTTAGGTAAAGTTAGAAAGATACAGAGGCTTAATTCCATAGAGGACATATTAAAGTAACCTGACTCCAGATGCTCTGGTAGCCTTGAGTTTTTCTGAACAGATGTAAAATATTGACTGTCACTTCCTATGATGAGTTTCAACAAATGTTTTTACAATATCTCCTCTGACAAGTCCTCTAACCCTAACTCATAATATACGTAGAAGCAAAGCCGGTAAAAATTATTCTAAAACATATCCAGGATGCTTTGGCTCAAAGGGTAAGCGGATGTCTAAGAGTCAGAAGGTTGGTGGTTTGATTCCCAACACGGCAGAGTGAAATGGTGAACATCACGTGAGATGGGAGGGTGATCAAGGGCGGTCAACCAGTACAGAGTAAGAAATGTCCTTTATAATCTTTGTGAGTATTAATGTTTTGAGAGATGGTGTGTCCTTGCCAGGGGACACCCCCTTACCTCCAAGGGACACAAAAAGGTCATGTGATCTAATTATTTCAAATCAATCCTGCTTACTCAAGCTGCTGTATAGCTCAGTGGTTAAAGCAGGCAGTCCATGTCTGATTCTCTGTGAGACGTGGCTTTGAATCCTCAGTTTGGTAGAACATTTTGGCCTATATGTTAAAAGAAAACTGGTACTCTCTGAAAATAAATTAAAACGAAAAGACCACATTTAATTCAGGCAAACACGCCAATTAACTTACTGCAAGCATTTTTTTGGGTAATTTTAAAGTCAGTAGAGTAAGGAGGAATTACTTTTAGTTGACATTACCTTTTTTTAAGTGCAATGCCCTGCTGCTGCAAAGAGGGAGCAGAGTTTGTTTTTTACATTTCCTATTCAAAGTTTACTAACATTTTTGCACGTCTTGACACTAAACCAGTGTTCTCGTTTATTACATTTCTTTGTGCATGCTATTTTTCTTTAAAGTTATACTTTAAAAAGTGGTGGGGAAAAAATGTGCCATTCCAAAAAGTGATGCTGACATGTCCCCAGCGCAAATGACGCCAACACGACACACCAGCTTTCAGATCTTTGCACCAGCTTCATGTGTGACAGAGAGCTGCTTTTATTATACGGCTGGTTTATTAAGAACAATATTTTTCAGGACCAAAATATATTTCTGATATCTTCTGCTACGTAATAAACCATCCAGACCTCTTAAGGGGAAGCAGTATTTTTTTTTTAGCCCCACATTTTCTTTCCCACACCCTCAGTTCTTGTCAATCATCAAATGTTGGTATTATTTTAGTTTACAGGACAAACAGAGAATGATTGTTCCCAATTAACAGTTCAATCTGAAAAGTTATTTTCTTCTGTTGATTCACTTTTATTAGATTTTAGGTCATTTATATTACTAATATTCCTTAAACAATGTATGAACATGAGACTTTAGAGTGGGGACACAGCATAATGTATGACCATGATTGTGTTCCCCAATTTTATTTTTTTAAAACAATTATCCAAAAATAAAATGCAATCCTCTTTCAAAAATATTGAAGAATATGCATAATAGTTGCAGTAACATTATAGTTTCTAATCCCTTTAAAATGCTGCTAGACATAGAAACAGTGAAACACATTTGAAGTGTTTTAGCCTGCATGGTCTCTCTTGACGAGACAGGAGTAGACATAAATCTCACTCTGGACAAAAAGTGAGTGAAATGTATAAATCTAATAAAATAAATGACCACGGAATGGACTGGAATCCAATTGCCTTTGAACAACTTTTGTTAAATAACTTCATTTGATTGAAATTTCTGATTAATTTAAGCCCGAACATTGACATCAGATCATGTAATACTTTCTGGTTTTATGAAGTGAAAACATTACAAAGACATTAATCGGAATTATCTATTTGAAATAGTTGTTTTTAAATATGCAAATACTCAGACAGAGACAAATTTAAGTATATTTTATTGATAGTCATGATTCTTTTCACCAGGTCTGTGAAGGTACAGGTGTGTGGTAGGCTGTGCAAACATGCTCAAAACACTACGAAGCCACTGCACTCGCTCCCACCAACAACGCAGTATACAATGACATATTCATACAGTATTCAAATACATATAATCCTTCTCATAGATATATTTAGAAAAATATAAAGTCCTAACTTTTCAACTGATAAACAGAAACATTTCACAACAAAAACACTTTTCACGTTTCATATATGCTGTGATTCCCTTATTTGCTAAAAGAAAACATGTGAAATGAATTAATGAGCGGATTTTGGATTAAGTGCTGCTGTAGTACACTTGGCATGCAAGGACATGCCCAACTCACCAATTAAATGCAAGACCATATGTGTTTGTGAGAAAAGCCGTAAAGAAAGCAAGTTAGCTATCTTGGGATGTGTCTGCACATAAGTGTGTGTGTGTGTGTGTGTGTGTGTGTGTGCGTGCGTGCGTGCGTGCGCGCGTGTGTGTGCAGACAGGTTTTCACACCACTCAGTGTTTAATAAACAAGATGTCGGGGGACCTTTGCTTAACAAAAATACTCCTGAACCTCGAGCTGCCTGTGGCTTGACCTCAGGGCGAAGCTGACGTCAGAAGTCGGGCAAAGAATAGGACTGGTGTATATTTTGAAGCGGATCATTTATGACTGACAACAGCTTTACTGCCTCGACGGCTTTTTGAGTCAAAGTGGAAATAGTTTACTTTGAGGTTTGTTAGACTCTTTTGTGTATTTTTATCCATTTATTGGCTCACAACACTATAACTTAACTTGAAGAGGAACTTGTTTAAAGAGAGCTCTTAGTGAATTTGTGTTTTATGTGAAAGGCAGTTATTGCAGGTACTGAAGATTGGCTGTAGTCGCAATTATTATTTTAATCCTCTTATCATGATCCCAAGTAAAAATATCGTGTTCTCTCAGGATTTTTTAATTCCATGGTCCTTTTCTCCCTATCTCAAGGAAACCGTTTTGTCAAGATAACAAGATATTAAGTTGTTCATGTTTTCAGAAGGGACACTTCTCGATATTTAATGTAGCTCACATAGAACCATTTTAATAAATATGAAATTCTAAAATTGCAATCAAAATGTAAAGCAATGTCTTCAGGAATTGAGTCATCGTTAATGGTATTAGTTCCCCCTGTGCTTTTTCCTCTATGAAAAGTCAAAATATCACGGTCTGCTGTGAAAAGAGTCTATAAATGTGATGCTTTTCGATAAAGAAACAAGTCTTCAATATTTCCAGTTAGCAAGAGTTATCCAGACGACAAAGTGTAATAATGGAAAGACTTTGGAAGGGAATGTAAACAAAATCACATGGGATGTTTAATTAGCAAATAAATAATTACAACCCTAAATAAGAAGCATTTATATCCCATTGTATTTACTGTCGGTACAGAAGGAGAGCTTAGTGGTTTTGTGAGCAACAACAAATGGCAGTTTTGGTTAAACTCGCAATTCTTATATGCATGACACAAAGCAATCAGAAACAAGCTGTTCTTGATGATGATACGTTTATAATATTCCACTTGGCCTACTTTAAAGATTAAGTTAAATGTACAACTTGGGGATGCCATTATTTTTTCTGGTTTCCAAAGCGAAGCTGTTTTTTAAGGAAAGGTTTTTGGATACATTATTTAAATGTTTAAATTAAATCAAAGACATGTTGATAAAGCATTGTTGTGAATGGCTGTCGTGTTGTGGCAGTTTTCAGACCATCTATCCTGTCATCATTTTTTTTGTTCACGCTGACACGATCCTAACAGAGGCAATGGGAAGTGACAGTAGATGAACGACCAAATGAGGAGGAGAGGAGACTCGTTACCTCCTCATTAATGCCAGATGCCGATGCCAAGCTGGGTCAAATGGGAGATACAGGACGTCACTGGAGCAGATGCAAACTGAAGATTGGATCAAATGTCCATCCTAAACAGATTTGCCGTGTATGTTTTGAAATTGACCAGAGAGACTTGCAGATGGGGACGGCTAGTGGGAGAGCATGCAGTCCAAAGACTGTGATTACTGAAGCACCAGTGACGAAGGTTAGGTCAGGTGAAGAATGTTGTCAGTATGCAGGTTGCATTATTGTTTAGATGTAAGATATAATTTCTTGTGTAAGATGGGTCAGAGATTTAAGTAAAACAGACTGATGGCAATTCTAAAGCTGACATGTTTTCCAGTAGACCTCCAGAGGGACTTTCTAAAGCCCTTAATGGAGCCTTTAATGCCTCATGTCTCTCTGATGGGGGTTAGAAGAAGTAAACTAACTGACAGGCCTGTAAATATTAGCACAGGGAAGGTCTTATAGCCTGTCTGTGTGAGTGTGTACGTGTGCAGTTGATGATTGTGACCACCTGCTGATTTTTTCCATCGCCCTTTTACAGTGGTAGCGTGTAATGAAAGTGAAAAGCAAAAGGAAAATCAAAGCATTGTTGCTAGACTTTTAGCAAAGAAAAAACAGCCATGTTTAACACATCAACAGAAGGACGCATCATGAGTTGTAAACAAAGGCAGAAGAGTATGCACACTTGCCCACTGTAGCCTACACTTATACAAACAACACCTCGGTTAAGTTAAACAAGACATTAAGAGCACGCAATGCATCAATAGAGAGAGAAAGGGGCACGGTTCCCCTAAACATGAGGATATACTTTAGTAGGACACAAAGAGGAACTATTAACAGTCAGCAGCTCCATGGTCCCATAGCCGGGGCTTTAACAACTACCTGCCCCCTCCCAGAGCTTAAAAATGACTTCCTGTCTACATAATTCTTAATCTCTTCTTCAAAATATCATAAGGTGTATTCATATGTGCGGCTTAGCCAGGAGGTGCTTCGCTCACTAAAGGTTTCCACAGAAATGAACTCATCATGTAAAGTCATAATCCGCAACATTTTCTTGAAAATAAACTTCTGTTTCTGCCATCCCCAGCTGACTGTTCAGTAAAACCCTAGCATTACCGTGAACTACTATGTCCAACATATAATGTTAGCTGTAACTACACACATCAGGCCTGTTGAAATGTACTTTCATTGGATGCCAAAACAGAGTGGATGAAGATGTAGTAAGAGTTATGAAGAGTTTTGAGGGTGCTTTTTATAATATAAACAGCACTCAGATAGTATAAATGTACACTAGATACATATTTTGTTTGTCTGCTCAAACCTACACTTCAAGTTCTAGCATGTTAAGCTAACTATCTCATTAGTCTACATATAAAGTATCCCAGGGTTTTTTCTCCTTATAATAATGTTTTATTATTACTTTTTAATATAAGGGTACCTCAATGCTAGAACTAGTGTATACAGATGTGCTACAATACAAGAACAACAAGTGTTACAATGTGATGTGTGTTTACTTTAAGGACATGTAGCTTCAGCCTTTCAGCATTATACAGTATGTAGCTGATTTCCACGTACACCGAATATGTTACTAGATTTAAAAGCTTGAAGGGCCTAGCATCAGTAACTAAGGGAGGCAGGGATTAGCAAAGGGTCATTTGTCAATTAAACAGTAGACAAACTGGATAGTTAGCATTAGCAGTCATAGCTTCCCTGCTATAAACATAGACAAAAAGTACCTCTTACACTGACTAAAACTTTACTAGAAGAAAAGTCAAATGTTTCCTGGCTACATGGTTTGGTGTCCAGGTGATATCTGGGCTATGCAATGTAGAAACACCACTGCAATGAAGGCTTAACACCTAGAATGCCACCAAGATAAAGTACAGAGTTGCACGGATTACCACGTTTATCTTGTCCATGTCTGTGAAACCATCCTCAAAGAACTCCTTGCAAGTTATAACTATTTTACCCCTCTCTACTTCCAAACTCTTCACACTGCCGAGCTGGAGACCTGGAGCCAGCCCACCTCTGTGTAGGCCCCCGTCACGTGCCAGTACACCGCCCCCATCAGTTTGGTCCACACCATCTGCACCTCTACCGGGAAGAATTCTGGGAAATCTTCAGCCATCACCTCCAGGATCACACCGCTCAGGATCTGAGAGGAAGGAGGGTGAGAAAAAAACTTGATTAACATGGAGAGAGAAAAATAGCAAGAGATTGAAAGAGTGGGAATATGTGGCTACCAAGATCATGTGGTCGAAAGAGAGAGTAATGTAAAGTAACACTGGAGCGTTGGAAATAAAGAATCCAATTTGCTTTGACAGAAAATGAGGCGAGGCAGGTGAGAATTGAAAATGATAACCGGAAAAAGCATGAAAGCAGTGGGTGGGCATGCTGTACAAAGGGAATGAAAGTGGAAAAAGGAGAGAGAATGGACAACACTATTGAGGAAAGAAAAGAAAGCAAAAATGAGAAAGAAATGTGGATTTAAATTTGGTAGAAATGCAGTAGTGTTTGACAGAATATTCACTTTGGTCAATCTGAAGAAAAATAAATGACACTGGAAAAGAATCAGATCCATATAAAAGCCCTTGAGATGTGGCTGAAAGCTGCGACAGGTGCCTGTAAGCAGGTCCGTGTATTTAGAAGTTCAAAGGAATTAATCCTTAAGCACAATCATTTGCAAATGTGCAGAAGCTGGACATATGATGATTTAGGATGCAGCTAAATTCATTACATGTATTCTTTTATAGCCAGTTTTTTTTTGTTTTTGTGATGAGTTCCAGAAGATATTCAGTATCTTATTTCGATATTCAGACTGATGTAAAAAAGTCCTCAGGTTTTTTTGTGTATTTGTGTAACAGATTCTTTGAACATAAACACAAAAAATGTATATAATAGAGGTTCACCGTTGTACAGTACGTACAGTATGAGGTTAGGGTTAGGGTTCAGGAATACACACTGGGCCATATCAGTGTCACGTTTAATTATTAACGTGATTATTTAAATCTTAAAGCGCAGTCATCCGGAAGATGGTGGAGGGATGCTTGAATGGAGGTAATGTTTCCTCTTCACAGCTGCATTTAAGAACCAACTGCAGACGACTTTTAAATGACTTCCTCTTTTCAATCAGATGAAGAGGGAATCATGTTTAATAATCATAGTTTCACATTGAAAAATATATGGACTAAATTGGATTTTAAATGTTTTTGATGACTCCGTCTTTCCTCCCTCTACAGTTAATCAGCACTTTATGTTAGGTCTGATAATAAAGTTATTCTAATGAATGTATCTACTTTGATTATTTTACTGCATTCATAGCTAACTTTTTCTTTAATTATAATATGCTATGACTATACATGATCTATGTTTATTTACAATTTGACAGAATATAGCTAAGAAATATGAAGTAATTTGTTAGTGAATATATGCCACTCACCACTGGACATTTTTCTTTTTCATCTCATTTAACTTTCGTTCTTCTGTCAATTAGCATTACACATAATACATTACTCGTCTGATCAAACTTTTGTGTATAGAGTTTAATTGCATTATTTGTATATCTGATTGTTATACTTAAAGGGTAACTTATATTTAAATCGTGTTTCTTTCACCTTGCTTAAGTGACGAAGAAGTGTAATATGGAAATCCATATACAATGTGACGTAACTTTTTCCGTGCTTACAGCTGTAACAGTGCAGACTTCTGACTGCACCCAGCCTCACTGATGGGATGCAATAGACTGAACACCTTTAACCAAAATGTGAAATAAAACACTGCGTTTCACCCCGATATTACCTCAGGTTAAAGTAGGAAATGTGAATTTATCAAGAAAACCTGAGCAAGCAGGGGTAGAATATGCTGTGTTCCCCAAAAATGTAGTAATAGTTGAGACAGGAATACACTTTTTTTGCTTATGAACATTTAAATAGTCAAGAGAGTCTCCTGTGGTCTTCGGGTGCGTTCACACCTGCCTTGTATAGTCCGGTTGAATCGAACCCTGGTGCGTTTAGCCGCTTGGTGCGGTTCATTTGGGTCGGTGTGAACGCAGTCCGAGACCTCTTAAGTGAACTAAACAACCGGACTCTGGTCCGCTAAAATAGGTGGTCTCGGAGCGCTTCCTTGCGAACTCTGGAGCGGTTCATTGCTGGTGTGAACGCAGTCCGCACCAAAACATAGGAAGCGCAGTATTTACGTGTCACAAGAACGCGGATATCTTCAAAAATCTTTAGCGAAAGAGTCTTTCAAGACATCCGCGGTTGTTTAGTTAAAGAGTAAAGCAGAATTAAGTGTTGAACAGTGTCGTGTAAAGTAACAATTCTCCGTCAGCTACATAAAAGTAAGAACACCTGTCGTCGGTGAAACGCCCCTCCTCTGCAGAACGTCTCATGTAACACTTATTACATGGCCACATTCTCAACAAAGTAACGACATGACTCCCAATATTAATTGAAATGCTTTTGTGGATTTAGAAAATGATTTTATTGATTTAAAAAATAGTTGTATAATTTAAATTGACATGCATCCGCTAAGAAAAATAGTCCGTTGTTACTGTTTGAACTAACGTAGCAACGGCAGGAACTGCTTCGATAGCATTTTTGAGGAGCTTTTTGATTACAGATTTGAAAACATCGTTGATTGCTTTAAAAGTAGCACAATTCATTATGTCAAACCTTGGAAAGTATCTAGATATCCCTGCCCTAATGCCAAAGTAACTGCACACTGAATATGTGTCGCCGTCTGATGTCTATGTCTGGACCGCTGCGTAAAAAGGAGGATTTCTGCCCGTTACTTCTCCGCTGTTTTCTTGTCGCTCTTGTCTTGTCAGTTAGTTTCAGCCAAACTGTATACAGTTAAATCGAACGGATTTATTTGTGCAGATGTGATAGTCCTTAACAACGGTCAATAAATCCTTGACATCGGTCTGTCTGTTCTGGATTAAAAACGTGTCACGTGTTTTGAATTGATCAATCAGAATCGAGTATTCAACAAAGCCATGTAATAATGTTTGTTAACGGACGTTGTCTGATTATATAATCATATGCGCGGGCCGCTAGTGTGTATTGATCTCCAGACTAACAGCAGCATGAGAATAACCTGCCGAAAGTGCCGATGCTCCATGGCGGAGTCTCCGCTAGAAATTGCCGGGATTTGCGTTTTTACCCCCTTAATGTCTGACCAATGGTTGAACAGCATTTCCGAGCACATGACTTGTGTTTAAAGTTTATAGTCCGTTTGAGTTTTGCCCGTGTGAACGCAAACCGAACCTTCTGAAAAATGAAACAATGTAACAAACTGTGGTCTGGTGCGCACCAGAGAGCGGACTATTAGGTGTGAACACACCCTTAGATTTGTAATAGGAACATTTCTTTGGGGTGCTTATAATGTAGGATGCTTTGATAATTTAAGTGGTTTCTGAAGTAAGAACATATGTTTGCTCTTCCTCTTAGCGGGACAATTGTATTTTTTCAGCAAACAGTGTATTTTATTTCATGAGCACACCAATAAAGTGGCCAAAAGTAGAAGGCAAGATATTGCTCGTCAGTCAAACAACACCCCTGTGGCAAATGCACCGAGGGGATTATTGAAGGCAATTCTGGAAAATATATAACATTTTCGATGAAAATAAGCAGAATGTGACAGGCTGACGCAAAGAAGCACAAAATAGGTCAAGTTATACAGTACACTTCATCCTAGGGTCACACCATCACAGACTAACTATGTAAAAGGGTCTAATAGCATCAGATAGTGGATACATTATTGAAGTTACCTTGAAGTACATGGGTTCCACCTTGTGTTTGATAGCATGGGCCTTCCCCACCAAGGCCAGCACTGCCGTCACCTTCTCTGGGTCGTTGAGGTTTACCACCACGGTGTTGAGGGCGTTCATCACCCTGCAGGCATGGTGGCGAAGTTGGCTGCTTCGCTCCATCTCCTCTGGATCCTCCATGTCGTGAAACTGGCTGAAGTACTGTTTGGCCGATGGAAAGTTGACAAAGAACCTAAGGAGGCAAATACACTTTAGTTAAAAGAAAGAATGTGAAAGATCATTTGCTAATTTGCAATATCAGCTTGTTGCTCCACCACTTTGCACCAAACTGAAATATCCGATCAAACATCAGATGTATTGGATTTAAAATTGTACAGACATTGTCCCCAGAGGATGCATCCTGATGACCTATGTGATCCCTTGGACCATCTTCTAGTTCCTCAATGAGGTTGGCATTTTTGTTTCTTTTATCCAATAATTTGTTTGTGACCAAATACCTGCAACACTAATGATATTGCTATAGGCCTTCTTAAATGGGCCACCTTATACATGACTCTCAGATTGATTAGTAAATAGAATTGAAAAAATGCACTATTATAGAAGCAAACATGTAATTTTATGTTTTCTGTAAACACCACCAGAGATGTAGGAGGAGAAGAGGCTGTTGAGGAGGAACAGCCAGAAACAACAGAAGTGAGGACAGTTGGTCAATATATTTTTTTTTTTGTAAAACACAGCATGGCTTGTCTTCTTTACTGTTTGGCCTCATTTATCAACAGTGCACACAACCAAATTAATATGTACTCTACATTTGTAATCAAAGGTTTGTATTTAACAGTATCATTTTCAAGTTACAGATAACAACAAGTTGAATGTTTCAATCGATTGGACCAATATGATGGTACATAATGATGCATAATGGCTTGCCACACAGGATTGGAGTTACCACACACAGCCATCTCGTCACCAGTGGCTGTATGTATTGTCTCATACTCCAGCCATTCACAGGAAAATGGAAAAATATCACAGATGAGACGAATCACTGGAGAGAAATATTGAATGCATGGCTCGGTTTACTGAAATAAAAAACATATTTTCGGACACATGGGTCACCTACAGGAGCCTGATCCTGTAGTGTAAATATCTCATGGAAAGGGATCAAGTGTTGCCTTTGCTCCCCAGAGAATGAATACTGAATTGGTGATACTTTGACTTTATCTTTTTTTTTTTTTTAGTCAATTTATTGAACATGTCAGAAACAAAAACATACAACAATAATATATATATATATTCTCTTTTTTCCTTTTTTTTCTCACTCAAATTAATAATTATAACAAAGTAAAAAAAAAAAATAATAAACATTTCTTTTTTAAAAAGTGCTATCAGCAGATCAAAAATGTTTGCTTATCCTGTAAAATATCTTAGCATCTATTAAATCGATTGGGACAACGATTTCTACAGACATTTAGAGTCCGCAGAGGATAAGTCCTTATAACATTAGTAATCCTCTTACCATTCCTCCTGTGCCACCATTATGTTGATATTTTTGGTTTTGAGTAAAGTGTTTCGACAACTGTTAAATGTAATGTCATTAAAATTGGACAGACATCCTTGTTCCCCTCAATATTACTTTTCTTAAGATTTTTCTGACGTTTCATCTGGCGACCATCGTTGTTGGTCTGTTGCTATTGTCAATTACAAATACCTGCAAAACTTGACATTAGCACATTCATTGTAGCTATATTAATATTTAGCTTAAAGCATGCATGTCTATGTAGTTTCACAGAGCTGTTAGCATAAATGTAGACTTTTATTCTTGTTTTGTTTCTTAAATGATCTGGTTGGTTGAGCAGGAAATCTCTACTACGGCTATAATTTGTAAGCTATGGTTGGACGTTGATCGAACTAAGTCCAACAAATAAAACAGTGCTCCCTTTAATGAAGCTAAATCATTCCACAAATAAATCATTATTTATATAGTATACTGTAGGGTTTGCTTTTTTTATTCAAAGTGTTGTTTTTTTCTTTTTATTGTTTGCTGTTAAGATAGGTAGGAAAATGTATTGTGTTTTGGAAGCACATTTGCTAACAAGAGAGGCGAGATCATTAGGACCACAAACACATAACACAAACAAGCACTGCTTAACATTGTTGTTACTAATCCTTCTTCAATAGTTGTTGGTATTAAACCCAATAACAACAGACAGCTATGACATCTAGTCCGCTTAAATGCGACAAATCTCTTCAGAAGCCCATACTGTAATAGAGCCAGCGAAGATATATTATAATGGGAACCATGTATGCATCACAACATTTGACCAAAGCACGTGGGAACTCATGCTTAAAAAATGAGAATTTACCCAAGAAAGGAACTGCTGGAGGCTGCAAAGTCCCTCTCTTTCACACTCATCAAAACAACGTTCTGTGCAAATGATATCCTGAGGCTTTTAAACGTACAGATGCCATAAATGATAATTCTGCTGTTGTTATTTCTTTACCGATAAGTCGTTTTTTTCGTCCTTCTATTAACACACAGACACACACACACACGCACACACACACACGCACGCACACCATCAGTGTGGGAAGAAGTGCCGGCAGAATCTCTTACAGTGCGGTTGCCTTGATGAACCCTGATGGTTAAGATTGAGTTTAATCGGATGCAGGTGTGCTGAAGAGCCGAGTTTAATTTCCATCATGTCTGGTGCTGTTTATGCCAGTGGCTTATTCAGAAAGAAACCCACTGAAGCATATTAAAAAGCTGTGTAATATTTTTCCATTCGATAAATTCACGGAACTATACTGATTGTTTTCCTTCTTGCATAAATGTAATCAAATCCACGTTAATGTAATCAACGATCACTGTTGAGAGCAGCAGGTGTATATTTCTCCTGATAAAACCATGTGGTAATGCAACCTTTACGTCCAACGAGATTCATTTCAGAATCATCATCTCGTCGGTAGTCTTGAAACTGAAATGAAACAAGGTTTGAATCATTATGAAGTGAAACAAAAAATTTGAATTTGAATTGAGCCAGTGAATTGACAGCAACAGGGCTGCAGCAAAACAATGAAGGGTTGCCCTAAAACACTGTTGAGCTCAGCAAGTCATCTAGAATCACGCTTGCAGACATTCCTGCTGGATTAGTTTGGAACATCAAAGTCATATTCTCACAGTTTAGATCAAAATGTCCCCCAAAAAAAACTGTTTCCCCCCGTTATACTGTAATCCACAGTTATATACTGTCTATGAAATTAACCAAGCTTCCCCTACAGTAAGAGCTTTTCAAAACCCACAAAGGACTTGTGTCTGTACAACGAGAGATAGGCCTATTTTAGGTGAAGAAGTAGTACATTCCATTCTTAAACCACCCTGGTAGATGTAAGAGGAGAGATAAACAAAGACAATGTAAATCGTGTAGTGGGATTTGTTTTGATTCAGGGGTTTGACAGCTTTTATCACAGTGGGCTGTGAGCTCACAGCAGCTCAGTAAGAGGGAGGGAGGAGCGCACGCCAAAGCAATAAGAACGTTTCCACAAGCTTAGCTAAAGGAGTAAGTGAGAAACTTTGCAGATTAAGTATTGTCAGTTTCCACTGATAGCAATGCAAACTGTTCACTCAGAGCTTTACACATTTACAGACATACAAACAAACACTGACTGAATAACAGATGGATTTAAATGTGAACACACACACACTTTGCTCTGACCCACTTTAACTCTTGTCAGTGCTCCAGCTGACTGGAATTGCTCGTACAGTACAGTTACATCCTAGTTGGAGTATGGCCCTCGGCGGCTCGCTTCACTACATCCCCCAGATCCTATGTCATGCTAGACTTACAAAGGCTCAGCTCGCCTCTAGCACCCCTAGCTTGGCTCTGCCAACTGTCACAATACACGGTGCACACTATTTTCCTCTGTAGCAGCAATAATACAGACTGTCTAGTAGCTTTTGTTCTGCACAGACAAACTTAACTGCAGAGCTTTAAAAAAACAATCGCTGCTCTGATGTTTCCTTTGAAGAAAAAAAGACTTCTTCTTTTTGTGCCTGTCTGCTTGTGTTAGAGTGATAAAGGCTAAATCCCCTATAGCCACGGCATTTACAGTACATTAAAATAATATATGCAACAGGCTTTTTTTGTTATCCAAAGGTCCCTATTATCCTTTAAAGTGTATCCTATAACACTCAATATTTGATTGCTTTACCAATAGGAAGTATGTTCTCTTAAAAAAAAGCCAATTTTAAGGATTGCAACAACACATTTGGGGTTTGGTTCCTGGGAGATTATGTAACACAGCGTTTACATCCAGTGCCACTGTTTATACCATCACAGAAAGTCATGTAGTTGTTATACAGTGAAGCAGAAAGTGATAGTAGAGGATAGACGGATGGGGTTAATGGATATGGGTGGGTGTGTAGAACATCAGACTTATATGCAGGATGCTTCCCATCTCACATCAAACTTACGATCACAATGACCAAATCAGCCTGACTGATTTATAACGGCTTATATCGTTTGTCAGCCAGAGAGCACTGATTAGTTGATTTTCTGCAGAGGCGGAGAACATTTGTTTGAATACTTATCTTGTTGTGAAAAAAACACGAGTACCCGTTATTGATCAATCAGACTGTAGGAACTCCAATCAAGGTCTAACAAAGGCAGAAATTGAATTGTGTCTTATTGTTATAGAAAAAGTATTTGACATTTCTTTATTTATTAGCATTTTTTGTCAAGCTTTTTGCCTTTTAATTGTTGAACAGCGGGAGACCTCATTTCATTTTCATTTCAAACCTTTATTTATCCAGGTGTATCCCATTGAGATCATTGATCTCTTTTTCAAGGGAGACCTGCTCAAGTAGGTTCCACATGAAACATAAAAACATAAACAGAACAACAAAAAGGACATCATACAGCATACCTGGATTTGAAGCTGCTGTAGTAAGGACCATCCTCTGTTCATTTGCCTCCAGCTCCATTACGTGACACACTTTACTCTGCTTTAACATACATTGGTTATCCTTACAGTTCACACTGTATATAGCAAACTATATTCAACCCAAATAAATTATTTACCCATGGTTAGCCTAATGTGGAGCTGTCCAGACCCCTGCGGTGCTGATTAGGCTACTGTTGAGTCGCAGCGTTTTTTTCTTCCCTTTACATACGACTTTGACAACGTGTGTTGTTAGGAATTAGCCTTTTGTTTTCTCCAATATCCATGTAAATAAAACCTTTATCACTAAAAAAAGCAAGTATTGTTATATCAAGATTTCAAAGTTAATGACCTGTGATCTTCGCCAACGTCTCAATTTTTTCAGTGTATTTTTTTAAGATAAATAATTATCCGATTTCTTAAACTTCCAAGCTAGTCTTCACTAAACTAAAACCAAGCTCAAAAATCTGTAAGCGGGACTCTAGTTTTCATTAACTCTAACCACAATCTTTCCTTTAAGTGTTTTTGTTGCCTGACCTATAAAAAAACATGAGACCATCTCATTATTTATTGTCTTCTAAATAATACTCAAACCAAAATCTAAGTTGTTGATGCCAACATAACCCATATGTGCCCTAGGGTGGTCCTTCAAATTGAAAGTCGGAAAGTCTAAGCTCCAACCCCCAGACTTCATTCTATTAGTCAAGAAACCTCATCGACCTTGAAGTTTAGCCTCAGTTGCAGCACCGTGGCTGCTGGTGTGGCAGCCACGGTGCTGCAACTGAGGCTAAACTTCAAGGTCGATGAGGGAGGGGTAAATGTTGTCAGATTGAGCAAAAAATTCACCAGGAGAGTTTTCTTGACTAATAGAATGAATTGGAGTGAATTGGTTGGAGCTTAGACTTTCCAACTTTCAATTTTAAGGACCACCGTACGTGAGGCTAAACTTCAAGGTTGATGAGGGAGGGGTAACTGTTGTTGGAATTTGAATACAATTCACCAGGAGAGTTTTCTTGACTATCATAACGAATTCCGGTGGTTGGAGCTTAAAATAAATTAATTCGAAAATGTACATGGCACTAAGGACCACCCTAATGTGCCCTCAAAATTGTTAACTTAAAGACTCCAACTGTGAGGCTAACTTCACTCACTTTATATATCAAATAAACATTGAAGTTTGATGAGAAGAACAATACATCGTTGTCAAATGTACGTTGTTCTCTATGTTGGAATTGTATATAACACAGTCAACGGGCCTGGCAGGCATTTAACTCACACGTTTTTTAGCTATGGAGCCACTGCAAGTTCTCCTTCCATTTTCTAGCTTTATTGACAATGCTATCACCTATGGTTAAATACTTCAAGTAAACATTAAAAAGACGGTCTATGGTAAAACATCGACATATGGATACAGCTTTTAGACACAGTTATAGTTGTGATGAGAATATATTCTTCACATGCGGAGTACCAATGCACAAAGTATTTTCTAATGGGGGTAAAAATACGGAGACCACAGTGACTGCATGTTCCAAGTATGTCTCAGAACTTTAATCTTACATCTCTCTAAAGGCATGGTGAGAAACATTTAGTCCCCCCTCGTGTGAGAGGAGTGCTGGTGTTTAGTACTTTGGAGAGCTCTGAACACATTCTTGCACCTGACTCTGCATTTAAATGAAGTAATCAAAGCCAAAGCAGCCCCATTAGTTAAGGTTGTTAATCACAGTAAGATTACACAGTAAGGGTTACACTTTTTATAAATCTTCGCAGTACCATGAACAACCTTGAGCCTCACTACCGGTACTTCAAGGACGTATTTTTCACAACTCTGCAAACCCATACAGACATAACCCAAATAACATTGATTCAAGAAGATCTACTATGGTATTGATTAAAATGAGATAGATTGCTATTATATTTTGTAAATATATTCTTGTTCCCCAGATGATAAATCCTAGAGCGCCATCCGCTTGTTTTTAGTTTTGTTAAGACATATCTTAACTTCTATAATGTAATGACATTGTACAACATAGGGATGTGAAACGAAATGCAGTTATAGTGCAATTTTTCTAAGTAAAAAAAAACGTAAAGATAACAACTCTTTTTGTAATAAAGACTATAGGATGAGTTTAGGAGTCTCACGGCTCAAGAAAGGGAGCTCCCCTGTGTACTGGAGGTACAACTTCCTTTTATCTAAAATCAGTGGTCAGTCATTCGTTCTGTCTAAGGTTGTTTATGTGAATATGAAGTCTCCTTATTGTTTGTAATCTGGTTACTAACTTCACAACTCAGTTCTCTCCAGACAGTGGTCATGAGCGTCTCGCATGAACATGAGGGGGCTGAGCACAGAGCCCTGGGGGCCCCCGTGTTCTTGCAACAACTCTGAGTTTGTATCTAGCCGGTGAAAACATACTACACTAGATATTGCATTATCAAAAGTAGATCACAGATAATAACCTAATGTAAATGTGTGTGTTTTGGTTGTTTTGGAGAAACTCCAGAGACAGCATGCTTTTAGTGTTTTTCCCGATTTTTAAGAGGCAATAACTGTTAAAAGCCTCATTAAGACAAACCCTTTTTTATGCATTTGGTGTTGTCAGAGTTAAAAGACATGTACAGGAAATAAAGCCAGTATAGACTAAAAAAGGGTAAGAGGCGACATTTTCTGACAGAGTTTTCACTAGAAACAGGACATCCTGCACAAACCAGTAGCCATGCTAACATAAAGATGATGTCACAGCTGTTTCACACGCCATCGCTATGTCAATCCACCTTCAGGAGGTATCAACAGTAGAAAACATAAACGAGAAAAGGAAACTGGTCCCAAAAGTGAGTATGAAGGTTAAAACCATGTTTTGTAGAAATGTGTATCGTTAGTGATTAAGAGACATGAACATTAACATGAAAGCAATCCCATTTGTGAGCCCTGCTCTAAGCTCTGTCATAAATGCATAATGTTATAAAATACCTTGCATTAATTATTTTTGGTTAATTAGCTTGGTGAAAATGTGCTTAAATCCTTCCATCATCACTGACACTGTCACTACAACACTACTATTTGAGTCAATGTAAGCAGGATTTGATTGTCTTCACAGATGCACCGTTTCTGCGGACGCCTGGGGTGCTCTTTTGGTGCAATTGCATTTGTTGGTTAGATGAACTGAGGCTATTGTCTATTCTCTCCATGCATCCAGGCTCAGATTGACATGAAAATGAAACCACAGTTCACTTAATATGCTCTGATCTCAAGAAAAGGATCTCGACCGTGCAAGACTTTGACTGAGTGTCAGCCTCAGGTTATGTTGGGTAACTGCCATAGTCAACTGTTCATAATCACCCTCTTTGTGCAGCACAGAGATAGAATAATGAAAATGTCAAGTGCAGAAACAATTAGAGACTCAATTAGCAATTACTACAAGAATTTTGATTTACATTTGAGTCTTTTGTCAAGCAAAATTAAAAGGATCATTAGTTGCGGCTTCGGTTGTGCATATTCTGTCAGTTAGTATTGCACATTTTTAACACATTGAGTAGGTCCTGTTGCTCTCTTTGGTTACAAGAAGATCCAAGCTGTGAATATGTATTTGAACCACAGTCTGCAAAGTGGATTCCTGGATATGTAATTTGTTGGCAGCTTTGTTATTTAATTTAGAATGTAATCACAACTAAATGAGATTTGAAAAGCAGAAGAATGTCATTTTTGTGCTTCATGGGAGGTAAAAATGTCAAAATATGGAAAGAAAGAACAAAATAGTTAGATGTGGCAGGGAGGTTGACAGTGAAGCAGGGATGAAGATACTACCAGAATTTGCTGCTGTCATCAGCAGACAAGAGCACAAGACACACGTACGTACACACATACAAAATGTACTCTAGCTGCTGTCCAATTTAACAAGCCCTTAAGGATTTCTTAGTGTAAAACTGAGACAGTTTAGCTAGGGACATTCAAAACAATGTATGCCTTTTTTCTTTGATTTACAAAAAACATGTAAGAAGCTGTGTTGGTCTGCGGCACTGTACAGTGAAGCCTTGCAGAAAATACACACACTAACGTAATCATGGTTGAGCAAGAATAAATAAGAACAACATACAGTATATCCAAAGATTTGTAATATTTGTAAGAAATAATAAACGACTATTAAAGTATATTCTATACATAAATTGGAGATAAAATTCAAAATCTCCTACAATCTCCTGTGACACTGAAGTGTGAGGAGAAGTGGATTATGGAATATGTCTCCAGGAATGCAATGTTCCTTCTTCGTCTACACTGTCACAGCTCAGTTACTGGTGAGAGGTTGAGGGTGTGTGTGTGTGTGTGTGTGTGTGTGTGTGTGTGTGTGTGTGTGTGTGTGTGTGTGTGTGTGTGTGTGTGTGTGTGTGTGTGTGTGTGTGTGTGTGTGTGTGTGTGTGTGTGTGTGTGTGTGTGTGTGTGTGTGTTTAAAAGTTTGGCATTTTTCATGTCTTTCATTTAAAAAAATCTAAACATATCGGTTTAAGAATGATTGGCTAGAACCAATGTACTATAGGCCTTAATCAGTTACATAAATAATTCATTTCAAAATTGTTTTGGATCAAACTTTTAAAATACAAAAAGTCACAACAGAGTTTGTCAGATAATTATTATTATACGGTCACATGACCTGCAGTTCTGTTGCTCTGGTAGTCTTAACAACCTCATCACAAACACAACCCTTAAACAGTCAGGCTGTTACCTGTCAAGAGGTCAATTCTGAAGCTTCAGTATAACCAACACACCAGAACACCAGCACACGTTCAGTGTTCTGTGCACTTAGGATTTCAGAAGATTCCCTTAAGCCATTGATAAGACTTTATAATTGCGTGAAATTTTTTTACAGCCTCAATTAAGTTAGGCCTAAATTTGGACACAAAATAAAAAGACTGGTTAAGTAATTAGGTATTAGAAATGAACATGTATTATTAAAAAAAAATCAGAAAGAGCATCATTCAGCTATTCATTTAGTAGATGTATCTAAAGCTGAGCCTTCAATGTCACAGCAAATAAGAAAGTCAAGCAATAACTCCTGAAATCTTTTTTAGCATAAAGATTTTAACCAAAATATATTTTTCGACAGGGTTTAATAATAACATTTCAGGATATTTGCATGAGAAAAGACAAATTGAGGATACATTATAAGCGTCTAAATCCAAACAGAGCAACAGAGACAGCTCCATCAGCATCAGCAGCAAAACTTAACCCAACTTAAGTATCTGTTGTTTTGTTTGAAGCTTACACAAACTAACACACTACCTTTTGGTAAAAGCTCACCTTATGAGCACAGACACCCCCACGTCCTCGCAGTTCTTGTAGACGTGCCCCCACGTGTCCTGGATGATCTCCCTCTCGGCGTCGGACAGCGGCTCGGCTCGCTCCGGACGGTCGTCGGGCTCCACCTCTCCTCTCCGGACCCCCAGCACCTGCGGAGGTGGCGAGGGTGGCGGAGACTCCCTGCGAGACATCCTCCTGCTGCGCAGCAGCCCGGAGGCTCGCAGCAGCACCCGGGGGAGGTAGGGAGCGAGGGAGGGGGGGAAGGTGAGGGAGAGCTGAGACCCCACGACGGGAGCTGGGAGAGGAGAGTCGGGATGAGAAGAGGAGCGGAGAAGAGGATGAGGAGGAAGAGGAAGGAGGAGGGGGAGAAGAGAGGTGGCAGGTGGTGCTCACAGCCAAAAATAAAAACAAAGGGGAAATTAAGCTCCTGATCCCCCCACTGCCTCCCACCAGCCACCAAGCTCTCTCAGTCCAAACTCTCCCACACTTGTCCTCCCTCCAACTGAAAACTTATCTTCCTTCCTCACTTTTTCCACTCTTCCTCCCTTTCTCCCCCAGTAAGGGAGATGCTGGTCATGGATGCTGCTGTTGTCCTCACGTCCCTCCTGCTCTCCCTCTCTCTGATCCTCTCGCGCTGGTGGAGGAGATGAGGCGTATGGTGGCTGTGGTGTGTGTGTTGTGAGGACCTGATGGAGCGAGAGTGGGGTGGGGAGGAAAACATAAAGAGAGAGAGACAGAGAGGGGTGGAGAAATATACAGAGCCAAAGGTCTTTGACAACCCCCTCAACACACACACAACTACACACACACACATCTCTGTGAACATGTTTGTGCTCACATAAAGGCAGTGAGAATGGATTTCTCCATGCTGTCTTTTGAAGAGGAAAACAGTATTGAAACAGATGTACAAAACCCAGAATTTGTATTGAAGAGATATTTCTTTCTGCATGTGTCTAATATGTTTTAACAATTTGACATAAAGTTTGCCTTTATGCTGATGATACTGCTTTTTTGTTGCTGATTCTGTCCAATGATTAACTGAGAAATGTGTTAAAAGCTACTCTAATTACTGTTTAATGGATTAAATATGTAGAACCCCATCCAACTTGAGTGTCCTATAAGGCCTTTTTTTCTGAAAGCCAGTGTTTTTATCAACTGTCCAGAGGAAAACCAAGAGAAGCCACTTGGAAAGCATCCTGACTTTTTTGGGCAGCTGCCCTTAGTATTTCTAGTGAAAAATAATTGTATGGAGATAAAACAATGTCAAACAAATAGATAACAGCCCACATATATCATAAGAGGCTTTGCTAGTTTATCATACGAGAGAGTAAGGGTGTTCATATTTTGTCAAGACATGGTTAGAAACAAAACCCTATGAAGGCAGTCAAGCACTTCAATGGTAATCGCTTTTTCTTCCAGAGATAAGCAATTTCAACACTGATCCAAAATGGTTTCATGGGACTTACATGTAGCCTGAAAAGGAAAGCTATCTGGTCTCAAAAAAGCAGACTAAATGCATCCAAACTTTAGGGACTCATCTGCCATTTAGCGGTGAACAGGTTAATTCCTTTTTTTAAGGAATGAAAGTTAACCAAAACAGAAAGGTTGCAGACCAAAAATGAAAAGACTGATCCAAAAAAATATTCTGCAAAGTTGAAGGTAATCGCAGTCGGGTGAATATTCCATACTGGTTTGTTACCACAAGCCCCTTTTACATTACACCAAACCACCCATTTGATCCATTGTTATGAAAGTATCGATTGCCTTTGCTTTATGTGTTGTCAATATTCTGTGTTCTGCTGCCGTAAAAGGGTCCGGAAAAATCAATTAATGCAGGTTTAATGAACTGCATGGTGCCCTATTTTAACCTTACATCCTCTAATGATAAAACACTACAAAAAACAATACTATTAATTTCTTGGCTAAATGGTGACATAATCTAAGTATCTTACTTAATACATTGTGATATCAAGTGAAAAACCTTGTCTTTTACAGAAGCAGCTTTCTCCTTACTTGTAACCTAATATAATGTCTCCAGTTTACTGCATATCTCTGGATTATGGCAATGTCATGCTGCCTCCCCTCTGAGGCCCCGAAATGTAATTTACCTTCCTGCCCTCAGGTGCATTAACTTGTGATACTCACCGCTACTTTCTGTATGATAAAGTTGGTCGGCCCCATGTCTGAGCGATGTCATTCCTACTGGTACTGAACACACATGGTTGGAAAATTGCCATTTTATATCTAATCTTTGTGGCTCTGGCAGTCTATTTAACACGCTCCAGTAACTGGAGCCATGAACTGGAGCCAGACACCAGACTATGTTCATGCAGAGGTTTTGTAAAATTACATTAAAAAAAATAAAAAATAAAACCTCAATGTAACTTTAGGAACATATTTTCTTTCTTTCTGCCCGATTGGTTCCACTGCAGTGTGCACCTTATTTATTTTCAGGTTTCTGTTTCACTAGTTGCCTGATCTTTTTATTTTGTTTATTTTTGTTCTATTAAACAGCATATTGACATAAAAACTGATGTTTTCCCAACCTATCTACCCTACTTTTTGCAAATTAAGGTTTGAAAACGTTATGACTAAGCCATATTATGAAAAATGTATCCTAACCACTTCTGATGAGCTGAAACAGAAAGATTGCAACATTTGCAATGAGGCAACACAATCAAGCAGCATATAACCTGTGGAAACTTTGTTAGGATACTGTGATGAAGACGTCACTATTTGCATAGGGGCATGGTAAAAGGCACACTCAGGGAAACTCATAGAAAACACGTGGTGAGTGCACGCACTGCAATAACTTGTAAATTGATATGTTTGCTGGAAATTTGTAAAATAATAACTCAAATCATTATTTTATTCAAGACAGTTTTATTTTAAATCATACTTCATATATCAATGCTTTCCAGTGTGCCAAAGTAACCTGCTTACCCTCTCCTTCACAGTTGTGGAGTTCGAAACAGAACAACAGATAACTACTGCCTTAAGTAGAGGCTCAATCATTGAAACAGCTGTGCTCAATTGGACCATACCATGTAGTGAATGGGCATGGGTGACAGTATTTTCTAGGTATTACAATGTAATTGTTTAGGGCTTCAGTGGTCAGATATAGTAGTATATGTTGACTTATTTGATTTATGGTGTTTGATTATTTCAAAATACATTTTGAAGACATTAGTTATTTAGAATTACAATAATTAAGTTTATAGTTGATTGGCCTATGGGGACGGGCTTAACAAATATAAACCTCTGGCCACAAGTGATTTTGGGTGAGTCTTGGCTGTAGAGCAGAGAGGTACCTGTTTACATTTCTGAGAGCTGTATATATATTAATGTTTATTTTTTCTTTCTATTTTGGACTGGACATCCTTGTAACTTTGTTTTTTCAGAGTTTTTGGCTGTAAATAAAAGCACTAAAGTGTACATATTTTGTGACTCTAGCCATCTTATTAATTCCTTAGTTATTCCATCGACACTTTTTGTAACAGATACAAGGCTGTTTTTTAATGTTATAAAACCAATAATCATTCAACTGCTTCTTATAATATCTCCCTTTGTTGTATTCCTTTTCTCTATCCGCTATATTCCCTCATAGGACTTGGCACCATAAACATGCCATGCCAAAAAAAGCCCTTTTTAATTGGGAGGTGGGGTTACGGATGCTTGTGCTGAAGAGGTGCAGCTGCAATGGTCAGAGGGCATGCGCTCAGAAATAGAAAGATGTGTGTTAGAAGGTGGTGCTTCTCCACAAATACTCAGTGGACATTGCAGGAGACACTAAAAAGGAAGCTGAGGATGAACTACGGAGAGGAAATAGATCACAATGTCATCATTACCGTCAATGCACCATCTCCTTAAACCACAATATGTATTTGTTGTTTTAATTCCTTCATGTTGTATCAATTCCCACTGTCAATACCATTTCCAGAATAAAATGTTACCTTTGAAAGATCTAATTATTTACAAGCAATTTTGATTCTGTCAATTTTTGGAAATACTAAGGTAGAGTAAAGTAGGCTATTATCTTTATTGAACAAGGACCATACATAAAAAATACATTAATCTCATAAAGAGAAGAGATGCTACATGCCAGCAGTCCCTAGGTACACACATAACAATCAACAAACATTAATAACATTTCATAATGCTTATCACACTAACACATCCTCACTCCCAAGTCGGCCTATGTTGACGTTATGTCAAGGTCCCCTGTGTCGGCTTTTTCCAACGCAAGAGGGGGGCGGCCGTGTCGGCTTTTTCCAACGCAAGGGGGGTGGCCGTGTCAGCTTTTTCCAACCCAAGGGGGGCGGCCCTTAGCGTACATTTTCAACTTTCCGGGATGTCCATAAGCTTCTATAGGCCTATAGCTCCCTAAACGGCTATGTTGTAGACGACTTGAGATCGCGAGCGAATGCTACCCGCAGATCCATTCTCACAGCGTTTATCAACATTTTCTTACTCAATATCAAGCCACACTTATTGTTTTTACTTCTTTATTTGTAATTGAATAATGTAGGACTTTTGTTGCCGTCAGTTATGGGGAGAGTAGGGGCTCAGAATACTGAAATCTGTATCTGTATTAATGGACGTTGCCAGGCAACGCAATAATTTACAAACTCTTCAACTACAACCCTAATCATAGGCCTATTTAAAAACATTTTAGAAGGCCTCACGAAATACTTTAAGGTAAATTCAAATTTAAATGTGAAGGGATGTGTGTAATGTGGTGATTGACATTATTCACCCACGGATCTATGGGTTGGGGTATTGTTCCGCACGGACATTTTATTTAACCGGACTTCCTGTTGATGTGAAATACGAAAACATTTAAAAAAAATAAAATAATACTTTATTCCGAGTTTGCTTGCTTTTCTCTTAGGAGGTCATCACATAACGGCCTTGTAATACACGGTTCGGCTGCATTAAATATTACATATCTGCCGTAGTTCGCTATTTATAGAGCCCTGATGAGAAGACTTCTAGACAAATAGGAAGAACTGCCTCCGAAACTGAATATGTGACGTGGATCATAAATATATCAGCAATTAAACAAAATCTTCAATTTCTCTTCACAATATTAAGTCTCCTTGCAGTATCAATACTAATTCGGCTGACTTTTATATTTGATCCAATCAGTATATTGGTATATTTACACCATAACGGTGCAAAGCTGATAGAAAGGGACACCTGGTGGTTAAAGCACGTTATTGAAATGTATTCTTTTTATTATTAGATATTAATAGGAGACACAGACAGACAAACTAATAAGGCTTTATTTAAACATTAAAGAATACTTTAGGTTAAGGTCTTATTTTGAATAAGAAAAAAGCTTTGGGGGTATAAATATTAAGCCTGACAAAGTAGCCTACTAATATATTGCTTTCCTGCAATGTTAACTATTGTATGTTTAAGCACTTATTTTAACTGATATTATACATATGTAGTATACTCTTATAAGATGTATGTAGATAGGCCTAGTATAACAAATGTGCAGAATACGACAGTTTAATGGTGGAGGTATACACACATAATTGATATATGTCAGATTGTAATGCATGGAACCTGCGACCGAAGTTTTTCATCTCCGACCTTGTCAGGTATTGAACATTCAATAAATAAAGAACACAGAATTATTAAATAAAACACAGAAT